ACTTTTGAGCTAGATTTTAATTTCTTTAACGTCAAGTACCACTTCTCTGCGGCACTCATCGTGGTTGTAATATTTCGCTTGTGTGGTTTTTCAGCCGAGAAGACTCAATGAGGGAGAGGAGTCTGCAAAGTGCTTGGTACCCAAGAAATGCTCACCAGACCCCGTTCCAGGTATTAACTCATTGAAACTTCACCAGACCTTACAAGGCAGGTGTTAGGAGCCCCACGTCCAGCTGGGAAAACTGGGGAGCAGAGAGAAAACCATGTACCCAAGGTCCTCTGGCTTGTTGGCTGCAGAATCGGGACAAGCCCTTTGTAGCTTGTTGCCAGCAAATGCAGGACTCAAATGGCCCAAGCCCAGCCCCTAAATAATGCACCCCCAGTGAGTGCGTGGAAGAGGGGACGGTCTGAATGCAGCCTGCCTCTCACCCCACTGGGGGTGGCACTAAGCAGCCATCATACCTCAGGTCACTGAACCAGAGGTCTGAATGCAGGTGGGCCCCTGGGGCAAGTGCGCAGTCCCTCTGGGAGGGCTGCAGTTCTTGGCTGGAGCAGGCACGTGGGTCACTGGCGAAGCGTCGTGCTCGAGGCCCTGGGAGGGAGCCCTCCGGGGCTGTTTGCTCCAGGGCCCTGACTGCTCCCTTGGTGTGAAGCCTCGGGCCCCCCAGTCACCAAAGACCTGCAGCTGTGGGGGGAAGGCTCAGGCCTGAGGTCCAGGTCTAGCCTGTCACTTCCTGGTCACCAGGTGGTCTTGGGGCCAGACCAGGTTCTTGGGTGGGGTGAAGGCAGTGCAGGTCTTGGGAGAGGACTGGTCTATCTCTGGGCCTCTGTGTGCTCATGGACCAAACTGGACAACAGCAGATAAAGGGGAAGTTGAGGCATGACTGTTGAGTGATTTGCCCCACAAGATTAACGTGAGATGCCTGGCACACACTAGGGGCTCAGTAAATAGCTGAGAGCAATGGAGGGCTCACCTGAAGTTGGGGGGGGGGAGTCCCTTCTGTCAGATCTGTAACAGTGTGATCAGCCCAGGGACAGGCTTAAGCTGCTGCCTTTTGGGGTGGGTGAGGGGAGACCACCTGAGCTGGGGTCTGAGGGAGATGCTCCCTTTCCCTGCCAGGTTCTGGTCTCTGTGGGCCTCTCCATGTACTGACGTGGGAGCCCCTGGGCTTTCCCAGGCTGCCCCAGGGGTACCCCCTGCAGGGATGGGAGCTGGGGATCAGGGTGCTAGAGCGGCCTTGCCCTCGCCTGGGCAGCTGGTCTCACTGCAGTGAAGGTGCTGAGGGAGGCCTGGGCATGGGTCGGGTGGCTCTGGGAGGACAGTGAAGAAAGGGTGAGGAGGCCACGTGGCCTCCCAGAGCCAAGGGACTAGAAGCCGTGGGGCCGCCTCATTCCGGCCGTGCAGGCGCAGAGGCTTTGCTGCTTCCCACACACGCTGGCCCGAGCCTCTGTGCACTGCCTGCTGGGCGCACTCCTGCAAAGGCATGCTTCAAAGCCTGGGGCTCCCACCCTAGAAACGCCCCTTTTCACCAGAACACTGGGGTGGGGGGGTGTTTCAGCTCCTGCATGTGAACCCACTTCCAGGGCACATGTGGTTCTGGTCAATTTGAATGCTTCTGGGGCACAAGACCTAGGAGAGAAAGTTCTAGAAAGGAGCTGATGCTACTGACACTCATTCCACTAGCCGGAACTACCCCAATAGCAGCAAGAAGATGTGGGGCCTGAGCCAAATGACCCTCAGCCCCCCCGGGAGCCCTGCCTGAACTGTCACTTTAATTGCACACACGCAGCATGTGGCGCAAACCCAGCACTGGGCAGCTTTCGTCTGTGTTTATTTTTTTCCGTATAAAAGTTACACGTTTGAAATGTCTGCAGGAAGATGCCACGATCAGGTTAGTTGGGGGGGTATATTTTACAAGGGAACACTGGGGTGGTCGTGGGCAGCCAGAGCAGGGGACACTCCTCAGAACTGGGGTTCAGGCCAACACGTGCATGCCTGCCCCACCTGGCTCCGCCCACACCTGCGGGTGAGAACTGACTTTCTCTACAGGGACCTGAGTCCTCCGTTTTACTCACGGCTGTCTGCGAAGACCAACTCCCATGACACTCCCTGGCCCCCAAGAAGCAGCCTAGTGTAGGCCGCCTGCAGCACTGAGGGGGTGGGTGGGGGCGCCTGTCAGCCGATAAGGTAAAGACACACTCACTGTCCTCAGGCAGGGAGCCGCCCGGCACTGCCTGGGCCCTTCTGCTCAGGGCACAGGCTCTGCTGCTACCTCGGAGAATGGGAAGAGATCCCCCACCTTGCTCAGGCCTGAGCACAAGGCAGATGGAGCTATGACAGCCCCTGACTGCAGACCCAGGGGAATGGGGCTCTCACAAGGACGAGGGGACTGTCAGTTGGCACCACCCAAGAGCCCTGGGTGCAGAGCGGCCCTCACACAGTAGCATCCACCAGAGCTGGGCGAGGGCAGGAGGCACGGATGAAATGAAGGGACTTAAAGAGGAGGAAACAAACTAAAAACCCAACCCCACACACAACACTGTTAGGAAATCAGCGACTACACGCACACGCACACGCACACACACACACACACACACGCTTTAAATAATAAAGTGACAGGCTTGGCCAGCCCTAGCAGGATTGCTGCCAGAGGGGATCCTACCTGACTTTCCCAGGGGTCCGCCCCTCTCTCTATAGGACAAACAAAACACAAAAGAGGAAAAAGCAGCCCCCATTTTCTTCTTGATAAATGCTCCCAAACTCATGAAGGACTCAAAATGACAGGGGTTGTTTAAAAAAAATCTAATCAACAGGTGTTGCTTTCTACTTTTTTCCTTTGTTCTGTGTAAGCTGGGCTAAGTAAGCACAGTGAGAGCCTGATGTTTGCTTAACCAAGCCCAGGAGAAGTGAGCGCTCATTCATGCAAAACAGGCCCAGGCAGGCAGCGCATCTGGGTTCCGACCCGCACTCGGCTGCCAGGGAGCCAGGCAGGGCTGCGGTGGCACCTCTGTTTACTGAGCACCTCTGCAAACCTTGCCCCAGATTGTCAACCTCAGCAGCAAGAATGGTTTTTAACAAGGAGGATGGGAAGAGTACCTGCTCTCGATGATGCTTTCGCTGGGGAGGCAAGCTGCTCGGCCTCAGGAGCGCCTCCGCCCTCCCTGCACCCCGAGGGCCTCTCAGGGACGCCCGTCCTTGTAGGGGGCACTGGCAGAAAGGTCTGCAGAGCCAAAGGAGGTGCCGCCCCAGAGTGGGCACGACAGGAGGGAAGCTGGAGACGGCATTTAAGGCACACAGCAAGCGACGGGAGGGGCTGCTGGACTCTGCCAGCCAGAGCAGCTCCTCCACTCCCCCGCCGAGTTAACGCGCCCCGGAGCTCAGACAAGGTTAAAAAGACTCCCAGAACTAACAAGTGTCTGATGATACAGTGCTCCCTCACCCCACACTCCTCCCAGCTCCCCAGTGCACCAGCGCTGTGGGAGCTGAAGGGGCAGCAAGATGACAGACGCCGTGGCTGCCTGTGGTCCAGCAAGGGAGGCCCTGCAGGTGCCAGTACCATGACAAAGAGTGCCAGCTGCGGGGCTGCTGAATCGCCCCTCTCTGGGCCAGAGGAAAGCTGTCATCCTCCTCCATGTCTAAGCAGGCAATGGAAAGCGAAAGGGGCCTCCTGGGTCTTCTCTGCTTTCTGCCCCAGCCGTTGCAGGCTCCTGCTCCAGAGGGCCTCAGGCTTCCACTCACTCGCCGTTCAGAAGATTCAGGGACCCTGGAGCTTAGGGAGAGGGAGGACGGGCTGTTCTTTCAGCTGCTGACATCCCTGCTGCTCCCAGGTGGGAGGGAGGGCAAGAGGGGAAAGACAGACGTGAAAGCAGAAAACAAAACCAACCCAGGAAACCACTGGCTCACAAGTCAGCAATGAGGCCCGAGAATGGCTCCACGGTGCCTGGGTCTGCTCCCACAGGGAGGGAAGGAGGGAGGCAGGAAGCTGCCGGCAGGCTCCAGGCTCCTGCCAGCTCAGCCAGCCGTGGCTGGGCCTCGTGGCTCTGGGGCCAGGAGTGCTGCAGCGCCCGACAGGTCACCAGGGCGCCCTGGTTGTGGAGCTGCTCAGTGTCCCCGAGCACGTGCCTCCATCCTGGCACCTGCTCCTAGGTCTTCTCTTCCCGGTCTGTTTTTCTCCTTGTTATGTTCCTGGGTTTAATTTTCAGAGAGAGTTCCCATAGGGCCTCCTCAGCCAGGTGGTCACTAAAGTCGTTGAAGAAGTTTATGATGTCATCGTTTCTCCGGATGTCATAATGCCTGTGCAGCGGAGGGGAGACAGGCAGTGAGAGCCAGTGAGGGCCGAACAGCCCGAGGGTGCCACGTAGACCATCCCAACACCCCTCACAGCAAACAGACGTGCTGCTATTGCCCAGCAGGACAGAGGACACCAGCCTCAGAGCCAGTACCCAGCACGTGGCCTAGGCCCCCGAGGCTGGGCTCCCCAGTGAGGGCTGCAGAAGCCTCGCCCCTGCTGCAGGTGCCCCAAGCACACCCTGGATTCAGGCAGGCCCAGGTTCGTCAGCCTTCTCCTTACAGCAAGGCGGGCACCACCTTCCTGGTGTGCAAAACGGGGGACAAGCAGGCCCAGGGCCAGACGGGGAGCTGAGCCCTTTACAGATACTCTGTCGTCCTGACAAAGAGGCTGTACCCCATTCAACAGATGGAGGGTCACTTCGTCCTCCACGACCTTTTGCCTCTGCTCAGGGCCCTGGGGTCGCTCCTTGCATCTTGGAGGGCTCAGATCCGCCCCACCCAGCCCCGGGCAGTGGCACTCACGCCTGCTGGAAGCACCGCATGCTGTCAAGGATGTTGAACTGCTGCCAGCGTTTGGAGAAGTTCACCTTCCCGTCGATATAGTCTGGGTTCCCCAGGTGGACGAAGGTCAGGTCCTGCAGGATTAGCCCCCTGGGAGGACAGGGAAGAAGCCCAGTCACCACTACGGACGGTGACTCCCAAGGCAGCTGGTTTACCAAGAGTCCAGCGCCGGACAATGACTCCAGCCCATGCAGCTACTGAAACCTCAATAGCAAACCGAAGAGTGAGTCTGGGTGTTTGTTTCTTCCGGAGTGAATTCCCACCTCACCATCTCTGGGTCCATGAGCACCTGCTGGGTCCCTCGGAAGCCAGCTCAGGCATTGGAGGGGCCTGGAACATCCCGCCCATCCAAGCCCGAGGAGGACTGTCAGAGAGCTGCAGGGTGTGGGCAGAGCTGTGGGTTGCTAATGTGAAATTAAAACATGAGCAGTAAAAAAAAAAAACAAAACCGCAAACTGAGCAGGGTAGAGAGTAGAGACCCCTTTGTTAACAGGTACGGTAACCTAACAGGTGCTTCTGAATACAGAGCACTTGATACCACAGGAGAAAAGGCGGGGGACTCAGGGAGGCCTCAGCTGAGGGGCCCAGAGGGGGATCTGTGATGGGACAGCGTGCCAGCGCTCAGTGCAGGCCCTAACCCAAGAGACACTGCTGAGTCTTCTGTCCCCACTCTGGGGAGTCCAAATGTCCGCTAGTAGATTGAAGGCTCAGATAATCAAAGAAACCTGCTTAGCTTTGATTTGTCTGCGATTTCCCTTTTCCATGAAACCCACTTCCTCGGCCCCACGGCCCGCCCTCAGGAAGACTTTCTGAACTTCCTCATGCCAAGTGCTCTCGGGGCTCCCGGAGTGACTGGCTCCTCGGGCGGTGCTGACATGCAGCTGAGTGTGAGGACCACTAAATACTGCATGAGGCCACGTGGGGAGAAGCCACATGCCTGTCGTCAGCACGCCTGTGCACGCGCTCTGGCAGGTACAGGAGGCAGTGGGAGGGGAGCTGGGAGATGGGAATTCTTGACCACGTCTTCTGTTTAGATTAGATTCTGTTACAAGGAGCACGTTTTACTTTCAAAGTTAGAAGTAAAAACTAAAACATAAGTATAAACGTCACAGCTGGAAGCCCTTCAGCGAGGATTTTTCTGGGGGAACCCAATGTGTCTTCCCCAGAGCAGCAGGGTGGGCGAGAGGCGTGCGGGGCTACTCACAGGTACGGGATGCAGGGAGGCTCCACCTCCGAGAGGGCGGCCCGGTAGGCCCGGAAGGAGGACGAGCTGTCGATGAGCGTGCAGTACTCGGCCAGGCCCTGGCAGGACAGGGCAGGGTTAGCGAGTGCTGGACACTGTGGGGGGCGGAGCCTGGCCCGCAATGCCGACCAGCCCGTCTGTCCTGCTCTGTGCCCACAACATGTGAACACAAGCCAGATGCGGGCCCTGCCCCTGGCCGGCACAGATTTAGTCTCCTTTAACTGAGTATCAGCCAAACCCTGGTCACAGAGATACCTCAGGCCTGTTAAGGAGAAACACCCCATGGGCTTTTAGTGCTTGGTAAAACCATTCCCGAGCAGCCAGCGACCGCTACGTGTGCAGGACGCTGGAAGCTGGGGCTCCTCCTTGGTTCCTGCTCTGTGCTCAAGCCTGAGGGAGCTTCTAGAACACACACTGAACCGAGCCACTCCTGGCTCAGAGCTGCCTTCACTCCTCACTGCACCTCACGTGCAATCGGGACGGCATGTGACCTTGACCTTCTGCAGGGCCGAGCTGCTTCTCGCCTCTGCACGTGCCGTGAGGTTCTTGCCTGTGAGACGCACCCACCCCTGCCCCGTGCTCAGAACACTATTCTCCTGCCTCCTCCAGGAAGCCTGCCCCGACTCCTCAGGATCTTTTGTGTTCCTGTAGCACCTGGGGTGAATTTCCCACTTCGCCATATGACACTGTTTTATAATTGTCACTTTATGTGCACCAAGTGAGAGGGCCCCCCAGGTGGCCTGGCTGACACTCAAAAGTTGTGGGCTTTGCTGCCTTTCTCAAGGACATCGCCCCACATAGGGATAAAGGTCCAATTCTAGGCCAGGCACAGTGGCTCACGCCTGTAATCCTGGCACTTTGGGAGGCTGAGGTGGGAGGATCACTTGAGGCCAGGAGTTCCAGATCAGCCTGGGCAACATGGTGAGACCCTGTCGGTTCAAAAATTAGCCGGGTGCTGTGGCGCACACCTGTAGTCCCAGCTATTCAGAAGGCTGAGGCAGGAGGATCACTTGAGCCCAGGAGTTTAAGGCTGCAGTGAGTTATGACGACACCACTGCACTCTAGCTGCGGTGACACAGAGCAAGACCATGTCTCAAAAAAAAAAAAAAAAAGTCCAATTCCTCACCAGGCCCCTCTGAGGCCTTCCTCACCTACAGCTGGTCCCCGTCCCCAGTGATGTGGCCATCCTGGTCTCTGCCCTGCTCCTCAAGGATGTCAAACCCCCACCTGCTCCCAGGCTGTGCTCTGCTCTGTCCCCTTGGATGGAAATTTTCTTCCCTTCCTAGGAACTTCCTCTTCCCGGTGGGTGGTGGCATGCGAGACACTTCCTCCAGGCCAGCTCACCTGGCCTTGCAGCCCAGTTGTCTTTCCACGCTCACCCTGCAGAAACCCACCCAATAGGATATCAGCTGCTCGAGGTGTGGCCTGTGCTTAAGGCAGCGCCCAGCCCGGACCGGCCCCTTTTGAGGAGGGACCGAAGGAAGGACCACAGTGAAGCTGGGACCCAGGGATGGGCTTGCGGGCAGCAGCAGGACGCCATGACATGACAGCCCCAGAGCCAACGTCGAAGCCTCCCGGGATGTGGTGACTGGTGATCAGAGACGGGAAGCTGAGGTGGGATGGGCAGCTGTCCTGGCCACACAGCAGGCTGGCGGCTGAGCAGCGACCTGAGCCCCAGCATCCACTGCAGTCCAAGCACGTTCTGCCACAGCCGCTTGCCCAAGGCCTGGGCAAGGACCCCACCTGCTGGCTCCCTCCCCACCCATGTCACAAAGGCCACTCACCTCTGAGGTCTGCTTCTGCCATTCTAGCCGGCGGATGGGCGCCGAGTCCAGCGCCGAGAGGATGGCCAGGTAGGAGTTGAAGTTATTCAGCTTCCGTAAGTGCTGTGGAGAGAGGTACGGCCTCTGTGAGAGCAGGCGGTAGGGCAGGCGAGTTCCGGCTACCCAGGCAGGGCCTAAAGGGGGTGCTCTGGGGAGGGCTTGGCCACCATTACCTTCATGATCTTGATGAACTTCAAGAGCAGCCGTTCCCTGTCCTGGGCCTTTTCCTGTAACATGATTATTGACCGGACCCTGCACGGACCAAGGGAAAAAGAAGACAGCTGAGCTGACCATCTTCCTACAGGCTTCAGGTGGTCCTGGTGGAGATGGGACCTGCACCCCCCTGCACCAGCAGCCACGAGCTCACCCCTACGGAGTGCCCAGGGCTTGCGAGGCCCCAGGCACAGACCGCGTCTCTGCTCTCAAGGAGCTGACAGCATCCCAGGGACAGAGACAAGATGCCACAAAGAAATCTGGTGACTGGTGCCAGACACCACCAACAGGGACCTCCGATTCTGCAGGGGAGATCTGGGAGGATCAAAGCAGAGCCTTTCCTGACAAGTGCGGACCTGAGCACCATTGGGGCTGGGAAAGTTCCTGAGGGCCTCAGGAATGGCTTGGGGAGACCAGCTGGCATGTGACTTAAGAGGCCACTTTTGCCAGCCATGAGGGAACAGATCTCTCAGAACCTTAGCAGCAACCAAAGCCAAAGCCAAAGCCAAAGGCCAGTCTCATTTGTGCCATGTGTGCAGTAGGGACCTCACAGTGGCCTCAACTTCCTGTGGTTTCAGAGGGGCCACCACCAGTGTCACTCAGAGGAAGTGCCACGTTCTGCATCCCCTCTTCCACCCTGTAAAAGCGGGCAGCTGCGCCGAGCACATTGAGGACCATGGCTCTGCACCTCAGCCCAGCCAGGCTCCTGGGGGGTGGGGGCAGGGGCCCTTGAGCTTCCTGGACCCAGCAAGAAGCCGGTGGCAGACACCAGGCTCAGGCTCTGTGTGCAGCTTCCCTCTGCCCCAGAAACCACCGTATCTGACTGGGCAAACTCCACACTGAACGGTGGGTTACTACAGCTGAGCACACTCCACTGAGGCCTGGAGTGCTTCTGTGTTGGGCAGAAAGGCAGGGAAAGGGGCGATGACCCTATTTTTCTCCAATGAGCAGTCCTTGGAACATTTAAAAAACGGACATTATGCTGGTGGGAGCAGCGGATGGGGAGCACTGCACAGCTGCCACGCGCTGACTGATGCTCTATTTGATGCCGAGATGCTGTGGGCACTTTAAGTCGCATCTCAAAGAGCCAAGAGTTCTGAATTATAAACACACTGTTGGCATTCATTTTGCTTTAGGAATTAGAGGCTAACAGAACCCACTCCTTGCTAACTGCTCTGTCAGGCATAGTCAGTGTGAGCATCTGGCACGTGAGGGAGGGCCTGGCAGCGACCAGCCCAGGACGCCAAGCCCAACAACGCTCCCCGGCTGCCACCTACGGCAGACATGACTAATCGATCCTGGCACTCTTCCCTGCTGAGCCTCTGCAACCAGCCCTCTCCTGTCCCTGCCCTTGTTCTCTAAATTTGGTTCATGATTCGTGCCCACAGCGCCCCCGGAGGAGCTTGGGGGAATGAAAGCAGCAGCTTCTCCTTACCACTCAAGCTCTCTGCAAAGGAAAACACTGAGCCCATCCAGGTGTGCCACCGTCCAGAGCCACAGGGCTTGGTACTGTGGCCCCTTCTTACCAGTAGGACATGTTGTTGAAGTGCTCCGTGAACTGGGTCAAGTTGGGGCTCTTCTCCTCGTTCTGCTCTTTTGCCCAAAGCAAAACCTCAGGAATCTGCAAAAGGAAGGAAGGACACTGGGTAGAGGCGGAGTCCTGGGCTTTCCTGTGATGGGGGTGGGTGAAGGTCTCCCATTCAGGGACAACCAGCAGTGGCTCCCCAGGCCCCGGCCCCCTCCATACCGCACCTCTATTTTATAGAAGAGCTCGGCATCCAGCAGTGTCAGCTGCTCAGCTATTTCATGGCTGTGAAAGTCGTGCAAGGTCCCTGGCCTGGAAGACAGAGGCAGAGAACCACCGTCAGGGCGTGGGGACAGTGGTCAGGGAGTTGAGCAGCCTGGCTGCACTGCAGGAGCAAGGAGGCCACGGAGTAGGCCAGTACCAGCTGCTGCTTGGGTCCCTCTGGGCCCGTTTCTCCCCAGGATGACGCTGTCTACCTTCCCCTCCTGCCTCTGCTGGATATGTCCTGCAGCTTTTGGAAACAGGCGACGGAGTTTCCCTTGTGAGCTCACGGACAATTCAGAGGCCTGAGGACTCTCGCTCAAAGCCCGACCCCACTGCCAGGTGGCCAGGAGAACAGAGATGGCGCCCTGTAAACGAAGGCTAAGTGCTCACTAAAAAGGAGGCCGTCAGTCAACAGGTATCTGCAGCTGGAACTGAAACTCACCTCTGGGCTGAGGCAGCGGGTAGGCAACAGATTGGAACTTTCACACAGGACCTTGGGAGGCTGCTCTGTTAATGCTGGCAAGACCATGCGGAGCTGACCACAGCCCGGAACACACTCCTCTACCTCTGTCCTCCATAGCCCTGTGTGCCCTGCTGCCCTACTTCCTGGTGACAAGGTGACTCATCACCCAACATATAACTTCTGAAGAAGAGGCCCAGCCACAGGAGACCCATGGGGCTGTCCCTGAGGCACCTTGTCACAGGGCCTGGGCAGAACCAGGATGTGAGGCTGTGGGGGATCGGGGGAGGGTAAACTGAGGAAAGCGCCATAGTGAGGCAGCTCTTGGGCACAGTTCTTGCCAGAGGTGGCGGGGCTTGGGAAGCTGGCTCCTTACCTGGCTGCTACCCCCCTGGCTGCTAGCGGCTGGTCGGAGTTGGCACATCTGAGCAGCTTCTTCTGGTCCATCTTGTCCAGGATGTTCTTCCGGAGCACGCGGGCCAGGCTGAGCTCCCCGTTGCACACCAGGCGAAAGACCAGTTCCATCAGCAGCTTCAGGATCTCCTCTGTCAACTCCACTAGGCTAAAGGGCCAAAGGCACAGGTGAGGGGCAGGAACAAGACCCAGGAAGATCTGGAATCCACCTCCAGATACCCAGAGGCCACGTGGCAGCGGTCAGCGCATAGCTGGAAATCGCCCGTGGGAAGAGAGCAAGAGACAAGATCTTGGGGCAGCGGCTGTACCTTCAGAAGTGCTGAGAGTGGTCTCAGTGGTAACAAACACCTGCCACTCACTCAACAGACATTTGCTGGCCCTGGGCAAGTGCCAGAGACTAAGCTGGGGACTGGGTTATAGAGACAAATCCCACACAAATCCTGTCCTGGGGGAGCTCCTGAACTACCCGCCTTGAGAACCGTCCATGCCATGAGAGTTCCCTAGTTGTATAGCCACTGGCCATGGTCATCTCCCCAGGAGAAGGTAGGAGCTGGTCTGTTCCATTCACCTCTGACTCTCCATACCAGGAAAGACCTGCTGGATGGGTATTTGTTAAATGAATGAAAATGGCAAGTGCTGTCTCAAAGAATCAGACAGATGACCATGGAAATGCTGGAGGCAGGGGTGGGCTGCCCCCTGCCACTGATGGCTAAGAGCACAGCCAGCTGTGGACTGGTCCTATAACACCTGCAGGAGGGATGGCTTGGGCAGTGTAGGTTGCTCTCCTGTGGGAAATTCAGGGCCTGCGCTGGGGCTAGAGAGATACCTAGTCCTGGCCTATGGGGGACAGGTCATTCTCTTGAAGGGTGGTGACAAAGCAGGCAAGAGCCAGCCCAGACCAGAGCTCTGTGCTCAGTGGGTGTTCACCCCCAGGGGAGGTGGGTAGAACGGGGACAGGCTGCCGATCTCAGCAGGGAAGCCCACAGCACCCTGAGGTTCGCCCAGGCCTGCTGTCTGCAGGGCAGAGCCGCTGCCACCCTCCGCAGAGCCCGAGGAGACGCACTCACCAGAGCTCGTCCACCACCCGCACCAGCACGAAGAATGTGTTCTTGCTGACGCGCTTCTTGAACGTGTCAGCAAAAGGAGAGAACTTCTCGTATGTGGAGTGTGGGTTAAAGAGATAGCCACATGGTGGGGGAGATGTAAGTTGAGGGCTGCCTTCTAGCTACGATTTATCGAGTGCTTACGGTGTGCCAGGAACCCTGCGAGTGAAGCGTTAGTGTCCAGAAACGAAGGCACGAGGCTCGTGTGAAGCCGAGGTTTGAGCCCAAACCTCCCTCGCCTCAGGACTGTTCCCAGCTGCTTCCCTCTCGTGCCTGCCTTTCTGTTGGGTTCAACCCAGGGCTCCTGTGAGATTACTGACATCTGAAGGATGGCCTGCTGAGCCTCAGGTAGAGAAAGGCAGTCCCAAACCAAACACCTTCAAAACCCCAGGCCTCTGGCAGGTACATAGGCCAGAGGTTGTGCCTCCATTCTGTCCATGAGTTTCCACTCTGAGACTGTCTCCCTGGGCCATGCGGCTGCTCTAGCTTGGACACCCTCCCAGGAGCTCTTCCTTCTGCGACGCCGGGCAAGGTCTCCCTTCCCAGAACAGCGCACTCCATACCGGCTCCTCGTCTCCATGGCAGCCCTTCAAACCCTCGGCCAGCTCTCGTCCCTTGAAGTGGGAGGCTGTGGTTTCCTGCTGCGCTCTCGTGTTTGCCATCGACTCCCCAGACCCTCCCTGACTCTGTCCTGCCTGCTCTCCAGTGACCCACAACCTTCCATGTCCTGGGCTCAGGACAGAGCCTCGCACTAGGGACAGTCTGTTTGGCCTCAGCACAGGGGCTCGCTGGCCACCCGGGGCCCAGAGCTTGGTGCCCATGCATGGGCCTGAGGCGGCCAAGCAGGGCAGAGGCTGAGAACTTGAGTGCTGGAGGAAGCCACATGGGTTGTCAAATCCTTCACCTCTCTGGGCCTCAGTTTCCTCAATTACATGACAGGAAATCATACAGCGGCACCATGTATAACATGGTGGTCTTATAGCTGACATCACACATGCCAATGTACATCTTGCCTGACTAGTAAATTCTCCCCGGGTGAGTGACTGCCATTTGCTGAGCCAGGCCTGCGAGCGGGTGCTCCAAGTAACAGAAAGTGCCAGGCGACCCGAGTCCTGCCAGTGGGAAATGTCCATGTCCATCCTGACGTGCAGGGGATTCTAAGGGTCACAGCGAGGAGATCTGCAGGAGACCCTGAGGGGGAACGGGGGAGGCTCAAGGCACGCGGGAAGGGGAGGAGGAAGGCTGGAGGACTGGACTTCCTGCCCCGGCAGCGGCTGCTGCCCAGCAGATGGCAGTCATGGGCTGCCCTCCTGGAGGAGCAGCCGCGCTTGGCTTTGGCCGCACAGGCAGGTTTGGACTTGAGGAAGAGGCAGTGGGCAACAAAAGTGGGTCCTTCCAAGCCCCTGGGGTCTTCCTCAGCCACTACCACATGGGGTACATCTACCAAGGGTGGCCCATGAGGCAAATTGCAGATCGAAGGGACTTCCACGTCCCCACCTTGATCACCCTGCCGCACAACACATCACTCGGACCCTGCACGGGGGCAGAGTGGGCGGGAAGGCCCGCGGCATGCGAGGCTGGGAAAGGATATCTGTACTGCAGCTTCTTGATGAGCTCCTCCGGGCTGATGAAGGTCCTGTAGGTGGTCAGGAAGGCCTCGCAGTACAGCACCAAGTCTGGAGGGAGGAGCAGCGGGAGCCACTGAGTCAGGGCACAGAGCACGGCCTGGGGCAAGTCCCTGATGCCTAAGCTGCCGAGGGAGGGCTGCCCTACCTTTCCTGTCCGTCTCCGTAGCGTGGACCAGTAAGATGTCCCCTGATCCTCCACGGACGTCTGGCCCGTCATCACCCTGTGATGAAAACAGCCAAGGAGGGGTATGAGGCAGTGCGTGGCCTTAAGAAAGTAAGGTTAGGAAGGAACAGGCAGGGATGAGATGACCAAGAGGTTGTGCCACCGTGTGACCCTGGTGCAATGCCAGGGGTGCCTCTGCAGCCCATCAGCCCATGCTCGGCGACAGGCACAGACTGAACCGTGTCTGGGAGCCGGATGGCCTGGGAGCTGTCCGGGCACCAGGGCACATCACTGTTTTGAGGACAAAGCTGGGTCAGGGGACACAGTGCCATTTGACCTTCCCCTGCTCACTGACCCATGGGCCAGAGGGGAGGCAGAAGTCCTCACAGGTGGGGGACAGTGGGACCCCCCCAGAGAGGAAGGACAATTACCTCCCAGGATGCCAGTGGAGGCACTATTTATTAGCACTATAATAAATAGTCCAAGAGGACTATTTATTAGCCTGTTAATAGTCCCAAAACTACAGCAAGCTGCCCTAAATCTAAATCCTTTTCCCCAAGTAGAAATAGCAGTCACTAGTATTATTGCAGGTTCTTCCACGAAGCCCTTCATTAGAGTAGTGTAAGTGTCACAAAGACGTTCGATGACATCAGATGCTGCTTAAATGACCATCACCCCCACCTGCCAATTAAGGAGCAAATCTGTTTCCATGAGGGCAAGCAGAGCTTTAACCACCTGGCCTGGGGCCAGCAAACCAGGCCCAGGACAAACACCCAGGGCCTTTCTCTGCCCCAGGGCCCCAACGCTCCCTCGAGCCCCTCCTGCTGCAGCACCCGCTCCAAGACTCCCTGTCTTTTTAGGGCTTAGGTATTTTACCCCTCAACACTAGGGTTCTGAGAGTGTCCTAGATTTACCTCCAGAGGTAGGAGTTATGCCTCTGACCTGGTTTTAAGGAAGAAATTTATGGCAAGGATCATGAGATGTCACATCTCTCTGCTAGGGCTCTCAGCGCCCTGACAGCCCAGGTGTAGACAATGTCCTGGGTCGTTCACTGCCACAGCTGGAGCTGGCCTAGCCTGGGCCAGGAGTACGTACAGGGCAGCATCTGCCTTTTTGTCTGTGTGTGACTATCAAGTCAAAGTTCAGAAACATGGTTACCTCCTTGGGGGGGCGGAGGGGAGGGGAGGTCAGGGCTACTTTATGAAGCTGTTCCTTTGCGTTTCCAGAAATGCCTAGTCGAAGGAAGAGATAAAGCTCTCTCAGTCCGACTTCCTCTTATGGTGACAGGTTTGGGCACTGTTTTCACCAACGAGGCTCTGAAGACAAGGCACAGGAGGAAGGTAGCCACACTGTCCAGGCCTCAATTTGCTTAATTAGCTGGTGTCTCTAGGCTGAGGCTATTGTGGGGCTATTTTATCAACTACAACAAAATGTCCCACATTGGTGAGGGCTTACCCCACGCAGGCTCTGTGCTGAGCACTCACATGGATTTCGTCCTCACAACACCCTCAGGAGTCCCGTCGTTTCAGGCTCAGGGATGCTATGTCACGAGCAAAATCACTTTCCAGAAGCATCAAGAGAAGGGGACAGTATGCTTCCCCCGGCACTCACCCCCCTGGGAGCCCAGAGCTGAGCTCCACCAGGAGCACTGAGCCTTGGCCTCCACACTTGGCTTGGGTCTCTCTGCTCGAGACACCTCAAGGTCACACTCTCCTTGGCCCCCTTGCTCTCCCTCTGTGGGGCCAGACTGTAGAATCCAGACCTGGGAGACTTTACCTCTTGCTTGAGCGTGAGTCTGGCCATAATCTCATTGTGGTCAATGAGGGACAGCTCATCCACTTCCTCCTCTGACTCGGCTGACTCCAGAGCATCTGGTGACTTTGGGGCCCTGGAGGGAGAAGTGGTTTGTGTTCTAAGAATCCAACAGGCCCCTGGGCTTCCTGGTGCCCAGAGGCCGAGGCAGTACCAGCCTGTGCACAGGCATCAGAACTGCTCTCTGAATGAGCCCACCCTGGGTGGCAACTCCATTGTCACGCACTGGGTCCCAGGCTCACTACCGATCAGCCGTGTGACCTGGGCACTTCTCCTGCTCTCTCTGGATGGCCTGTCTATACATGGAAGGGATTCTGCTGGGAGATTAAGAAGGTTCCATCAAGCTGTGTGAGTGATGGTCTCAGCCGCCTTCCGAGGCCCACCATACACACAGTCAGCACTGGAGAAGGAGCAAACGGGCAAGGAGGTGGGGAAGGCAGGCAGCATGGCTCGCCGCTGTTCCGCTCCCCGAGGCTTCTCCAAGGGCCAACTTGCCCTCGGACCCTTTGTCTGGGACTAAGAAAAAGCCATGAACCAGGTACACATGGCCCCTTGTTCTCAGGGCTCGATCTAGCAGGGCATGGACTATAAAACAAGTGGTCACGGCAACACAAAAAAGGGGAGCAGGACCTGTAATCCTAATACTCTGGGAGGCCCAGGCGGAAGGATCGCTTGAGGACAGGAGTTTGAGACCAGCCTAAGCAAGAACAAAACCCCGTCTCTACTGAAAAAAGAAAGGCGGGGGGGACAGAGCACGGAGGGTAGGAAGAGTACTGCAGGGGCCCTGGCCTCTCCTAAAAGGTCAGGAAGGCCCCGGGATGGGACAAGTGAGTTGAGCCTGAAGCACAGGGAGGACATTCCCCACAGACGGGCACAAGGGCAGCTAGCAGTGTCCAAGATGAGTCTCCCAGCCTGGGGTGTTCTGGGGAGAATGGGAGCTGCGTCTGCCGATGCCTGGCTTTTCCCCTGGCATCTTCTATATTCCCCTGTTTTATTCTGGTCGGCCTTGTGATCACAGGTCACAGTGTTTTTAAGAGAGAGGGTCTTGCTACGTTGCCCAGGCTGGACCTGAACTCCTGCCTTAGCCTCCCAAGTAGCTGGGACTACAGGTGTGTGCCACTGTGCCCGGCTCACAGCTCACATTTTTCACCCTAAGTATCTGAGACATAAAAATGCGTGCCTTCCGTAAGCGAACACGAATGGGCCAGAGCAAACCCTGTTTCACATCTCGTCAGCGTCCAGCCTGTGGCATGGCCTGGGCGGAATGAGAACACCACCCAGTGATAGTTTCTAACCAATGTGTTCATGCTTCTTTCACAAGGACCATCTAGAACTCTGAAAATGACACTTTTGGGTCCAGTGAAGCTGGTGATAGAACCCATGAGCTGATTTTGCTCAGAGCATACCTCCTCTGCCCCTGGGTACACTAGAAAACACACCACTCCCTGCTTAACAGTCCGGGAGACCTCAGCCTGGGCAGGAGACTCACACAGGCGTCATGTGGGCGGCACCGCCGAGCGGCCCAGAGGCAGGCTGCGCAGCTAGCCCTCCTCGAGGCCCCCTGTGGAACGCTTTCGTGTTTTTCTTTCTCTTGCTACTTTTTTTTTTTTTCTTTTACTACCTTTTCAACTGTTCATGCTCAGGCCTGAGAATAACAAGCGGGCATTGCCTTGCTCTGCTAAGATCACCCTGGATACCAGAGGTAGCTGAACCGTGACCTAACAGGGGAGGAAAAGCATGAACATACTGAATATTTCACAAAGAAGGTGAAGTCAACATGAAGTTGCAGGTGGGAGTGTCAACGTGCAGCCTACACATTATATTTTATAAGTGTATACTGGGGATATTTTTTTTTCCTGACACAGGGTCTTGCTCTGTCATCCAGGCTGGAGTGCAGTGGTATGATCACAGCTCACTGCAGCCTCAAACTCCTGGTCTCAAGTCATCCTCCTGCCTCAGCCTCCCAAGTAGTTAGGACTACTGGTATGTGCCACCATGCACAGCAAATTTTTCAATTTTTTTGTGGAGACAGGGTCTTGCTATGTTGCCCAGACCGGTCTTGAACACCTGGCCTCAAGTGATCCTCCTGTTTTGACCTCCCAAAGAGCAGCCCATATTGGGGAAATTTACTTCATATTTCCATACCTGGTCGGGTTTGGCTTATGCTAATATTGAAAAATTTACAAAAGATTAAAGAGACATAATGACTAAGTGCAATGGAGAACTCCTGATTGATCTTGGTTGCAAAAAAATTAAGATATACAAGACATTTTGGGGAGAATTGGGGAACCGGAACATGGTTTGCCTATTAGATGGCATGAGGGAATTCATTAATTTTCTTAGGTGTGACAATCGTATCGTAAAGAGGATTATTTTTTCGGAGAGGCATGCTGAAGTATTTGTGGGCCAAGTGCCACAGCGTCTGCAACTTACTTTCAGGTGGTTTAGCAACACAGTTCACACATGTCTAGAAATGTCAACAAGTCTGTGGGTGGGGAGGGGTATCTTTTATGCTCCCTATCACAACTTGAAAGAGACCAAAACCACAGAAGGTTGGCCAGGATTGAAAAAGATAACACTATCATGGTAACTTGTAAGGTGGATAACATAGGTGCAGACCATCAGGAAGTAATGGCAGACTGTATGTTCAAGCCTTTGAAGAGTGGGATTCTTAGTGATTTTCCTGCTTTCTTGCAATTTTCTGTTCTTTCCCACAGTTTCCAACCTGAGCATATATAATTTTGAGAATCAGATCTACAGCCAACCCACCCTGAATGTGCCGGATCTCGTCTGCTCTCGGAAGCTAAGCAGGGTCAGACCTGGTTAGTACTTGGATGGGAGAATCAGAAAAAAAGGAAGAAAGACTCCAGCATGAAGCACCTGCAGGCCTGGTGAGCTGGCTGGTCGGGGCCACTCAGGCAGAGCTAAGAGGACCCTGCTCTTGGGGGACCCAGCCCCTCTCGGTTCACTTCCTACCTCTCACCGCCATCTCTGCTGTCCTTCCCGGGTACAGTGCCGGCTGCTGAGGGATCTCTGGGATGCCCATCTTTCCCAGCTGGTGGTTCCTGAAAAGAGAAGTGAGTGTTGGGTTTGGACAGGTGGTCCACTCCAGGGCGGATCTGTCTTCCCAGCATTCCTGCCCACAAGTGGCTTTGGAGTGCAAGGTCCTACGGAGCAATTTGAGACGAGAACAAGTTAATGGTGAATGCAGTTAATTACAGGAGGCACAAACCCTCTTGAGACTAGCATCCTGCCTTTGGAGAGAGTGAAAGGTACCACTCTTTGTAACATTTTTCAGCTGCCAACCTAGACGAAGCCACCTCAACCACCTCCTCAAAGAAAGAGAACTGCCACCACAGCCAACCTACCAGAGCTTGGCCAGGCCTGGGCTAAGGGCTTTGCACACAGCTCCTCATTTGGCCTCTTCAGGGAGCTAACACCACTGTCCCCACTCCACATGAGGAAACCGAGGCTAGAAATCAAGGGTCCTGCCAAGACCACATAGCTGGTAAAGGGCAGAGCCTGAATTTGAGCCCAGGGCTGTTACCTCCAATGCCTGTGCCCTTAAGCACTGGGCACTGCGGTCACGTGCAAAACTCTGCTGATTTAAAGGAAGTCTTCAGGGCTGTAGTGCTCAACCTGGTACAGTCCCCAGAGGGCCAGCTGCCTAGGCACATGAATGTCAGTCCCCCCTCTCCTCCTCCAGCAGACTTGCTTCCTCCCGGGTCTCTGGGCCCACCCTATTCAGTGACAACCAAGGCCACGACAGAGAACTGGTGTGGCACGAATATATGGAATATCACTGTGGAGAATGGTTCAAGGAGAAGAAAAGTCAGCCCTGGACGCAGCTGCTGGTGGAGGGAGACAGCGTGGAAAGCCTTTCCCTGGGAGGACGGACTCCACCATGTGGAGGCCGAGCTGGATGGTGCTGGAGGCACAGGTCAGCAAAGGGGACAGCTGAGGTAGGGACATCACCTTGGCTCCCACAGACAGGGTCAAATTCCACTGGAGTGAAAATCCCTCAATGTTCCATTACTTGCTAATGACTGCGGTGGGGCTTGCTGTGTGTGGACATCTATAATTCTGTGGAGACCCCGCTCTCAAGGGGGGGCCCTGCCCTTGGGGTTGATGACTGGGGAGTTCTCAGTCATCACGGACCCTCCCACAAGGACCTTGTCCCACTTGGTGTGTAGGGAAGAGCTATTTTTGAAGCTTCTGAACTTGCTCATGTTTTGCTGAACCAAAACTTGGAAAGCTGATTGCTCAACAGAACTGCAGTCCGTTGACCACCAGGAGCTGGGACGGCAACGTAACGAGGGTGATGGCGCCAGGTAATTTCTACTCCCTCGGGAGGGAGGTGTGCACAAACCCGCAGGGCTACCTGGGAAGCAGTTAATGTAGGGGTGACACAGCATGCTGGGAGGAGGAGGGGATGAGGTCTGATAGGCTGTGAGCCTCTGGGTGAGGGACGGAAGATGGAGCTCTATGCTAGAAGATGGGACAGAAAGAATCCCACAGAGAGCAACTGGATCCGTGGCCAGGGCCCATGCCATGCTGCTCCTACAGATTTCTACAAGACCCATATGGCCAGACGTACTGAAGCAGGAGCAAATGGGCAGACCTCCACCTGGAAGCAGACCTCCACCTGGAAGCCATGTCCTCTCCCACAGAGCCAACCTGGCTCCCAGCAAGCCTGCGGGGGGCCCAGTCTCCCAGTGACCAGAGGGGAGGGGTCAGCCAAACAGAAGCAGGTGGGAGGGAAGCAGCCTCGGAAGAGCAGGGCCCAACTCCTGCCAGGCCAGGCCACATGCAGGCCCGAGGTTACTTACTCCTCGAGAGGGAGCCAGCTCCTCGCTGCTCTGGCCAGAGGAGTACAGATTGACATATTCACCCTCACCAGCTTCCTCACTGGCGTTTTCACTCTGGGGGAGATAGGATGAGAGGAAAGACACATGGGCCAGGCCCTCTAGCCAGCCCTTACAGCCCAGAGAGGGCAGCCAGCAGGGCTGGCCCTGACCAGGACACTCTTTTGATAAGAAAGAAAAGAAGGCGATAGCCTATACCCTGGTCTCCCCAGTGTCAGAGAACAAAGCTGCTTTTGCCACCTCTTGCCTCTGTTAGAGAGGACCCAAATTTCCTGCTAGATCTTCTCCAAAGGTGTCGAGGGCCATTCAAACTGTCCTGAAAAGACAACCCTGCCACAGCGGGAACTGCAGGGGTCCCTGGTGTGGTGGGAAACGACTGTGGAGGGACGGCAGCAGCACATCGTGACAGCTTAGCATGCTAGGGAGTAGTCCCCACCTGCCTGCATGTCCTCTGCCCCGTCCACTTGTGCACTCCAACCTGCAAGGCAGCATCGCCCTGGCTTCGGATGAAGCACCACAAGCAATTTAACAGGACGGGAAACCAGGCCCCTCTGTGCTCGGCACGACACGCAACTGAATGAACAGGCAACTGCCTTGGATCTCTGCCGCGTCCACACTCCCAAAGGAGTTTGTACCTTTCTCTAAAAACAACCAAACAAAAAGCTAGTAGCATTTTCTATCTTATGTATTTAACTTCCTGTCTCTAAATGGTCACTGGACTATGTGTGGAAAATCAGATTCCTAGTCTGATGAAACTTTGTAGAAAAGGTTCAATTTCTGTTCTGGAAACAGATGGGCTACAAATTGTACCTTGTGACCTTCCACAGCTATCAGTCTGGCCATGCTGCCATGGTGCACGCCCGCAGCGCCCTGACTGCTAGTGAAGGGCAGATGTGTCTTGCGGGACAGTGATACCGCTTTCTAAAACCGTGCAGACCCACGTGCAGGTGTGCGGGTTGAATTCTCACCGAGTCAGTGAAAGAGGTTTCGGAAGGAAGGCAGACAGTATTCCCATGAAAGCTGCTCTCCTGGGAAGATGAGAGAGGCCCGTCCATGGTGCTGGGCGGCAGACTGGCTACAGCTGGCACCGCTAAGTCAGAGCTCTGAGACTGGTGGACAGGTGGGAAATGTGGAGAGGAAGAGGAGGTAGGCGGGAGGAAAGGCTGAACGGAAGCTTGGTGGTGAGGCACGAAATCCTGGGAGTAGGACCTAAACACAGATTTGTACTACAGAATCAAAGTGGAAAACAAACACAAAAACGAGAATAAGGGAAGAAGAAAACAGACAAAAGAAAAAGTAATTAGATTAACTGTAGCTGAGCACTGGTAGGTTGTTCACAGTAACTCTAAAAAGGACCACCAATCATGCCAACAAAATACCTGGGTCCTCTGGCCGCTGAGGTTCCCCCCACACCCGACGCATCCTCCCTCAAGACGGGCCTTGAAACCGGAGACTTGTCCAAACAACAGCACGTGGACAACAGCTCCCTGAGGCCCCCGAAGGAGAGCAAACCCCCTATACCGCAGGCACAGGCGACCACACACTCTACTGTGACAGAAACATCACCTACACAACCCAACCCACTGCCGCTTATCCTTTAACGATCCTTATAGTTAAATTCAATGTTGTTGTATTTACTAATTTTCAATCTTTTGGATGAATCTTTTAGGTTTTATCCCCTAAAAGTCAAACACTGCAACCTTTTAAATATCGTAATGCACCTCAAATCCTTTTGGAAGGGAAGGGCATAACACTCAAGAATGGCTGGAAAATTGCGCTATCAAAATGCTGAACATTTCTGAGTTCATTTTCCCTCCCATTCAATCTTTTCTCTTTCTTAGGAGTGGCAGCAAATACCCACAGCTTCTTAGATCTGATAAGCACCCTCAGGCCAGGGCTCTGCTGCTGGAAGACAGAGAAGCTCTCAGACCACTGGTCAGTGGCCACCATGCTGACAACCCGGAGATGTCATCGTGCCCTGCAAAGGCCTGCTACTACTCTGCTACCATCACGGGTGGACTGCAAGACCGTCAAGGGGGAAGCGCAGCCCACGTCCGAAGTCCTTGCCAGGTTCACGTGCCCACCACAGATGCCAGGACTCGACAGAGGCCAAACCCGACACAAAGGTGCAAACCCCTCACACAAATGTTCTATGCATTTGCTGTGGAACAGGACTGTCAGAACTCATGGAAACAAGGAAAAGGAGGGGGGAAAAAATGAAGTTTTAAACTTATAGTGGGTCAAAGCCACTCACAGTGTTAAGAAATTTTGCAAAGCTACCCTTCAACCTGGACAAAGGACCACTGCGACTCGAGGGACAAGGCAGTCCCTGCATCCGTCCACTGTGCAGACAGCCCTGGCCCCTTCTTGGTTGCACTGACCAGAGTTTAAAGCTCTTCCTCCCTCCTTGGTGAGGCCAAGGCTCTCTTGCTCCTGTGAGCTCCAGTGGTTGTTGGTTTATAGCAGACCCATGACACCTGCCCTTGGCACTGACTATTTATTATACATTTTATTTCCCCCTCTAACTCACAAACTCAGGGCCAACCCCTGACCATGGTCGAATGAATCAGTGGAAGTGCCATACACGTGACCAAATAACACTGAACACTCAGATACCTGCTACGAGTGACGTTCTGTTCACACTCTTCTTTCTAGAGAAGCTGGAGGTGGGGGCAGATGACCTGGTCCGGCAACCCCAGGCTTGCGGCTCCCACCCTCAGCCCTCACATGATCACTTCAACCTCTCCCAGCAGTTACCCCAGACAGTGCTGTGGGCCCGGGCACTCACTCGGGGCCTTCCTGGGGATGGCAGTGGGGCGAAGGGCTTGGCTTTCTGTGTCCTGTCTCTGGAGGATGCTCACCCCGTAGCGAGGCTCTCATGGCTGGGAAGGTCCACAGAGAAGACGGCAGGTGGAATGCATTGGCCGAGGGGAGGGATGGCATGGTGCTGGGAGGTTGCTTTCAGCGAACCCCCAAGTGACTGTTCGGGCAGTCGCTTCAGTTCCCTGCAGTTCCCCAGATTCTCAGATCTGTCAGATGCTTGTTCCCAAAGCCCCGGTGCTGCCATGATATTTGCTAACAGATACCTCTTGCCTTGCCCACAAACCCACTTGCTTGTTGGTGCCTAGTTTAGGGTTCTTGTTAAGTGCTCTTTCTGAAGCCTGGACACTGCCATCGCAGACGCCCCCATGTAAACTCGCTTGGCTCTTAAGCATGCCCTGCAACAGCCGAGCACCTGATTTATATATGCACAACTGGCTTTTGTGTAATCACAACAAAACATACCAAGTCTGAGAAGTATCTTCCTAGTTGATCACAGGGTACATTTAGCAGGTTTAGTTAGAGGTTTTGCTCTCAGCCTGCCCTCCAAAACACCACTCTAGGAACTATTCTAAATAACGGGAGCTGAGGCATTTAATAGGGACCCAATACTATTTGCTGATTCTATTATTAATCAAAGTGCCTAGAATACTTCCTGACTCACAGCAGCATCTCAGTTTTGAACATGGAAGAGTAAGAGATAAGCTTCACTTGTCGCATGGGTTCGGGTTCAGGTCCAGAGACTGAGGAGGGAAGCTCAGGGATGCCACCATGCGTGTGGACTGCCAAGAAGAGGGGTAGTCACCAAGGAGAAAGGAAGGAGTCTGCATAGCTTGGAAAAAGGGCCTGCCCACCCCGCCTTCCCTCCCTCTGCAGCTCTGAGCCAGAGCTCTGGTATGCAAGCTATGCAGTCATGCTGGGACAAGAGCCAAGCTTGAGAAGTACCCTGGGGGTTGGGGGAATGCATGGGGAGGGTTTCTGATCACCACAAACCCTGGGGGCTCTGCAGATGCCCGCAGCTGCATCAGGGCTCTGATCATACCATTTTCAACAAGCCCTGGTCTCTACTTACTCCCCAGAGCAGTACTTCCAGCCCTTTAAGATCCCACTATCCACAGGCGCAGGGAGAGAGGTGGGGCTGGCCTCACAACAGCCTGGAGTTTATTTTAGGATCTGGCTGGTGCCTGGCTTTGCTCCCGAAGAGCTGCTGCTCTCTGTGCAGCGGGAATTTTTATTTATAGCCAGACTAAGACTGTTTGGGTTTAGGATTTTAGAATATGAGGGCTGCCTGTCTGAGACCTGCAAACTTCTGCAGAAGACCTGGCGGTGTCAGTGTAAGTGCACCGTTAGGAAAAGAGATGCCTCCCTGTCCCCAAGTCAGTTCTGGTCCCATGATCAAAGTGCCAGTGGGGACTGCTGCATGCAGATGAGGACAACTACTCACAACTACCTGTACTGAATGCTTCCTTCCTGCTGCGCAGATGAGGTGCTAAGGGTCTTGCGCGGATCATCTCATTTAATCTACACAAAGTGCTGTCGTGATCCTTACTATAATGCTGGAGAAGCTGAGCTGGGAGGGTAGACCATGACCTAGTAGCACACGGTAAGAGGTAGCGTGGGGATGGCCTGTGCCACACTCAGTTCATGTTTTCTGAAACGCTGAGAAGTATTCTGGGCATGCGGCAGGCCCTAACCACACCACCCACAGCTCTGCACGATGCAGTCTCACTAACTGCACACAGAGATCTCCTTCGCGGAGTGCTCTGGGATGCTGGGATGCAGAGAGCAGTGCACTGTCCAGAACATTCCAGGATGGGCAGGGAAAGACAGAATCCGCAACTGGGTTTTCTGAAAACATACACCTGAAAGAACCATTGAGTCTTCAGAGTCTAAAAGGTGATGGAGGCTGACGACTTTATAGGTTACCTTGTGGCCGACTCACTGAAAGGCAAAGCTACCTGCAGCTGGCGAGTCACAGTGACACTTTCTCTCCATTACAGTCCTGGCATGAAAAATGACTTGGGATGGGCCCCGTGTTGCCTTGGCAGAAAAGGAGAGAAGTAGATCTTTAAATGAAAAATTCTGAGTCCTCAATATAACAGCCACTCCACTTAGTTCCCGACGATCAGGAAGGCTGGGTTCCAGGGAAGGCGGTTCTGCACGTCAGCAGCTGAGAGCTGGAGCCACAGATCCAGGGACCTCGATCTGAATGGCTGCCCCACAGTGACAAGAGCTCCAAGCCTTGGAGACCTGTCACCTCTACCAATTACAGGGAAATGCGATCATGTAAACGAATGGACTCACTGTCATGGTGAAGCGTTTGGGAAGAAGAGAAGTTGCCAGAGATCGGTCATCACTACATAATCTTGGTTCAAGCAAGGCTTGTGACTTCAGTGTTTCAGGACACTACTTAGCAAAACAGATAAATTGTTGCACAGCTGGTTTTCAGGCTTAAATTTTTATCCCTCATTTGTGACAAAACCACTCAAGGGAAGCTGCTTTTCTAGTGTGGCTTGGGCTTCCTTCCTCAGCAGAGGATCACCCGGGAGCTGCACCTCAGCATGGCGCTGGGCTCCAAGCACACTTCCTTCTACCAGGGACTGCAAGCTTCACAATGTGGAACCTAAATCATTGATTCTGGGAGGAAGTCAGGCTTTTAGCCACCACACAACACCCTACACGATTGCCTGGGGAGAAGCTCACCTGATTTGGTTCTTATAGAGACGGGATACGATCACTCCTAGGACACCAGAAAAGGTCCTTGGTAACGTTCTCTGTTACTCCATTTGCAAACCAGAGGGAAGACTTCTGGCTTTGTCTTCTCTCTCCTTACTGGTCCCAATTAACTACTGGTTTATGAAAGTCATCATTTCAGTGGGTCTACCTTAGGCCCACAGGCTACTACTCCCTTCTTCGATGCCCTTGTGTTAATTTATAACAATAACTACATTTTACATAATGTTAAAAGATGAGGTTCCGGCCAGGCGCAGTGGCTCGTGCCTGTAATCCTAGCACTCTGGGAGGCCGAGGTGGGCGGACTGTTTGAGCTCAGGAGTTCGAGACCAGCCTGAGCAAGAGCGAGA